GCACTTCTTCCTCTTTAACATCACTCAGCTCCCTCCCTCTCACTGCCCCCACGGCTTATCCCCGCTTGCCTTCACTATTGTAGTAGTGCCTGTTGGCCTCCCCTCTTCTCCTTCCTCCCAGCCTGCCCTTGGTAACATCCTCAAGGCTCCGAGCCACCACCATCAGCTTCCTCCTGCTGCTACCCCCACTTCACAGCACCTCCTTCCCCCGCCTTCAAGAGCCTACATCCCCTTGCTCCACCTATGCCTCCGAGCTCACTTCCTTCTCCTCAGTCGCACCCCTGAGGGACAAGGCTGGCAGGAAATAATAGGGAACCCGCGAGGGTGCTATGGAAAGGGAAGAGGGGTCTTGAGACATTATTCCCCAAACCTTCAGGCTTTCGCAGAGAACAAGTTAGCATGGGGTGGTTTGAGCCATACAAAGACATTACCATTCTCTGTCCAATGCCACACAACTGTCCCATAATGGGTCTCCCCAACCCTCTCCTTAACCTTTGGCCACCCTCAGCTTGGTTCTTTCTAGTCTGCTCTCTCTACCCTGGGAGCACGCACCCTCTCTTCTCCTTCCATTCCCTTCTCAGCCCCCACCGCTGTCAGGAGTACTAGCTAGCCATCGCTTCTCACCGATGCTTCCCTCCCTTTCCTGACCAAGGCCGCCCGGGGGGGGGGGGGCAAGTGGGGCAATTTCCCCCAGGCCTTGAACCCCGCAGAGGCCTCCACGAGAATGTAATATTCTGTAGTATTGCAACTTTTTTTTATGGAAGGGCCCCCCAAAATTGCTTTGCCCCAGGCCCCCTGAATCCTCTGGGCGGCCCTGTTCCTGACTACCTGAACCTGCCCAGAGAGCTGAAGTAGGGATCCTTAGCCCTAGGCAGAGTCCATTGGAGACCCCAAGGTCCTTGCTCATGAAACCCTGTCCAAGAATGGGGCCTTCTCTGTGAGCCCTTCATGGCAGGGAATGTGGCTCATGCCACGTGCCCAGTTCAGCAAGCTCCCAGGCGCGTGGCTCATGCTGACATCAGTGGGAGGGGAGCAGGCCCTAGCTTGTCAAGCACTGCACAGACTGATTGTAAGGAGGCAGTGTGGCGAGTGCATTGCTTTTCACACTGTGGGACGCGACAAGGCATCAGGGGGATGGAAGTTGGGACACAGGGCCACGGCCGGCTGGGTGCCGCACCAGGGAGGGCATGCAGAGAGTCATCAGGGTGGGCGAGAGCACAGCCCCACCCTGCCCAGCCACACCCTGACAGCAGCCTGCTACTCCCCCTCCTCCCCGCCCAGATGGCTGGGCACTCCCTGTACCCTCCCCTGCTGTCCTAGCCTGACTGCAGCCCTGCGTATTTCAAACCCTCCACAGCCTGCGGGAATGAGAGGCTCTGGACAGGGGGAGGGAATGCGAGGAGCCCCAGCCCGCTCTGCACCACGCTGCCATGGGCTCCTCCAGGGATGGAGCCAGCTGGGTCCTGCTGCCACCCTGGCCATGAGCTGCCCGTTCCCCTCAGTGAGTCCTTTTCTGCTCAAGACGGGCAGGGAGGTTGGGGGGGGGGGGAGGGGGAGACTGTGACACAACTCCCACAGAGAAGAGGGGCAAAGAAAAAAAAGCTTAGGAACCTCTCGTCTAGTGCTGCACTGGGACACAGGGGACTTGGGTTCCATTCCTGGCTCTTCTACCAACTTGTAGTCTGACCATGGGCAAGTCCCTCTGCCTCTCTGGGCCTCTGCTTCTCCTCCCACCCTTAGTCTCTTTAACAGCAAGTTCTCTGGCTCAGGGACTGTCTCTCACTGAGAGTTTGTACTTAGCACAAGGGGGCCCTGGTCTAGTGATAGTAACGACAATGGTCACAGGACTGCCTTAGCCCATGTTCCGCAGGGGCTGTTCAGTCAGCCCAGGACCACTGGAACACACTGTGCTCTCACCATGCCCCTTCACCTTGCTCCAGCCACTGCTTTGTCTCCCCGGAATGCTCCTACACCACTGGAGGTTCCCTATCACAGGAACCGCTTTTGGCAGCTGTAGGTCCCTTTTGCACAGCTGTAGCGTGGCTACATGGTCTTGACCTTGGCTGCTGGTTCAGCTCGGAGTTGGTGACTGCAAGGGCATTCCACTCCCTGAACACGAACACCAATTCTAGAGCTGCGAAAACCCTAATTCATCTGGGATGTGATGCTAGATTCACCCTCTGTGCACACTACACACTACAAGTGTGTCTGTCCACAGTTTCCCTGTGGAACTCACTGCTAGGGGATGTTGTGATGGCCAAAACTATCACTGGGTTCAAAAAAGAGTTAGATAAGTTCATGCAGGATAGGTCCATCAATGGCTATTAGCCAAGATGGTCAGGGACACAATCAGAGGCTCTGGGTGTCCCTAAACAGCTGACTGCCAGATGTTGGGACTGGATGACAGGGGATGGATCACTCAATGATTGCCTGTTCTGTTAATTCCCTCTGAAGCACCTGGCATTAGCCACTGTCAGAAGATAGGATACAGGGTTGGATGGACCATTGGTCTGACCCAGTCTGGCCATTCTTATGTTCCAGTCCATAGTGCAGACTGCCACAGAGACTTTGGGGGGGTTCTCTGGTGTACCTTCCCACCAATTCTGCACTGATGTAAAGGTTAAAGGTCATTTTTGGAACACAGTGATTGGGGGATATTCACCTTCTGTCTGTTTGCACAGGAAGATGGAAATGGGCTGAGTGACTGAATCGCTCCTTCCACTTGCTGCACTCCCTGTTAGCCCCCTTTGCCTGCCCATCCTAAGGGAACAGATGGACAGGAGCTGCCCCAAGTGAAACAAGCACCTCCCTGATCAGTGATCTCCATGCCAATTGGTCACCGGGGAACCAAGTGGGCAATCCAAAGCCACTCTCAACATGTAGCGATTGGGAGCGTTCGGCTGGGGCCAGGCATCTCCACACCAGGTCAGCAGGGAATGAATGTTTTTTTTCAATGGAGACCCAGACACGAGACTTTAATGGGAAGCAGACAAACATATACAAGTGATAAGAGCTTCTCTAATGGCTCTATATCAGCAGACTGATAAAAACTCTCCCATAGCAATACAGTGAGCAGATATGCCTGTTCCTAGACTGTCCAAGGACCTGCTGAGTTACCATTCATGCATGGCATTTGGTCAAGGTCCATCTTTCAGTCCAAATGAGCGCTCAGAGGCAGGTGAGATGAGGAGAGAGCACCGGGGTTTGCAGGTGCAGGTTCTACCTGCATTGCAGATTGTCACCACATCTTCACCCCACCCCAGCCTTTTGGTGAGAGATTGGGCCTTTGCTAAGAGAGAGCCTGGCCTATAGACCCTTTGGCACCCATTTCCATCCTCTTGTCCTACAGCTGCTCACTGAATGGGGACAAGTGAAAAATAAGGCACCAGTTCCCATCAACCTTTGTGAATTACATTTGCAAAAAATAATTCAAAAAAATGTATGTGAACATTTTTTCTTGTGAATTCAAACTTTCCAACTTGGGAACAACTCGGAACCACCAGCTCAACGTGGAACCAACACCCCAAAAGCTTTGCTCACAGGGCTTGTCTCTTAATATGACCCCACTCGCTCAGATCTGATACGCTCCCTACTGTGCATTTATTTATTGCCCACCTCCTCCTGACCTGGACTTTTAATGGGCTAGATCCTGAGCTGGCGTAAATCAGTGTTACCCCAATGGATTCAGCAGAGCAAAGCCCATTTACATCTGTAGAAGAACTGGCCCATTGCATCTTATTCCTTGCCAGTGTTAATCATCTTGCTTGATGATAGCTTTTGAATAGTGGGCGAGGACGAAGCTGGGCAGTGTCTGAGGCATGCTGGACAGGTATCCTTCAGAAACATAGTGCCTTGGCCGGAGGTTGTGACACTGTCCATACTCTGGCAAAACCCACATTGACACCCCTGGAATGTTGTCTGAATACAGACGCCGGACCTGACCGACCCCCAAATCACTACCAATCATTCATAATGCTAGACTTGCCACCTCCCCCAAATGCCCTCAGACACACTAAGGCCGGGTCTACATTCAAAACATTCATTGGCACAGCCCTGCTGATTGGATGTGATTTCGAAAGGACATTTCTATACCGGCACAAGCCCCAGTGTCCATGCAGTTACACTGGCCTAAAAGGCCTTTTGCCAGTATAGCTTGTTTTGCTTGCCAAACCAGTATAAACTATCCTGGCTAAAGGCCTTTTTAGCCAGTATAAGCAGAATCCACAGTAAGAGGGTTTGCAGGTATAGCTATATAGCTCTCCTGGCAAACCCTTCCTTGTTTAGGCTGTGCTTCAGTCACAGAGCCTTTGTATCGTCAGTAACCCGTTTGGAATAAGGTAGCAGTTTCAGTCTGGTTCCCAGTGCACAGGTGTCCACATCCCTAAAACCAGCGCCTGTGTAGGCATGTTGCAGAGACGCCAAGGACCGAATGGCCCTGGAGATAGACTGATTCTCTCCCTGCAGTTCCAGGAGTGGTGGAGCTGCGGGGAAGGGTGGCACTGCAGCAGGCTGTACTGGACCCAGACTTTGCACAACTTCAGTTTCTCCCCTTGAATCTCATTCCCTCTCACAGGCACTAGGCTCTGACTTGTGGAAAGAAAAAGTCAGAGTAGAGTCTGGGAAAAAATTGTAGGCTCCCCAGTGCCACCCTGCCCGGACCCAGCCCTTCGCCTGCCTTGGGAGCCGTTTCCATGCCAAAAGCAACTTGTCACTCACTCTATGTCACTTTTTCCCTCCTGGCTCTTTCTCTCCACTCAGATTGGGATGCAAGAGAACTAAACCTCTGCCTGGAGTCCCTCTCTCCCTCTGCGTGAGCTCCGGAGAGGACTCACTGTGGGGAAATAAGCATCCCAAAATGGGCAGCAGGCTGGCCAAACCCTTGTGCCAGGAACTGGCAGCTTGCAGGGCACAATGTGATGCCCCAGCAAAGCCCCTTTGCCATGAAGCCACTCAGAGCCCTCAGCCTCCCCCAGAACCCAAGTAAAGAAACCACTACTTACATACAGTCCTGTGTGTCCCACTCCAAAGAAAGGGAATTTCACTGAGATCGGCTGAAGCCCAGAGCCTCCATCATCCTGTTTCAAAGTGACAGCGTCCCCCTGCTCCAAGCCAAAGGGGTAAAAGTCAGCCAGAGGCACAACACCCTCGACCCAAACCCATTTCCCCAGGGCTAGGATCACCATCCATCCAGCCAGGCCCCGCATCTCCACAACACACCGGCTGTCGCTTAGTTCAACTCAGAGTTACACCGGGGTCTTTTTTTTTTTTGGCTTTCATCAAGCAGAACTTTGCAAAACTCTGCTATCTGTCCTTGCGTGGGCTGGTTGGGTTTTTAATGCTGGTATGATTTGGTTTGGTTGGAGGGGATGGAGTGGGGAGGGGAATGCGATAAAAAAACAGGCTGAGCTGCAAACTGCCTAGCAGGAATAAAAAGGCACAGATCTCAATGGTGCAAAAGCCAGAGTCCCCCCGCTTCCCCCCTCCTAGGCAGTGTAGCGTGGGGAGAGTTAGGCACCACTGAAGAGAGCTAGAATCTCTGTATAAACAGAAAGGTCCCAGAGTCGCAGGCCAGTCGCTGTGGGTCTCTCTCCACTGATTCTTCTCTCTCGGCTACACTAATGTCTCTGTTTAGCTGGGTGTGGGATGAGGGGGGGGGTCTCATTCACAGAGCAAACTCCACCCTTGCTGGCCATCCTTTAATACTCAGGACATGGTCAGCCAATCATGGATCTTAGGGGTGGGGCTATGTAAATGAAAGGCTGTTCTTAAAGAGCAAGGGCCAGGGCCAGCAGCTGGGGAGGGAGGAAGGGCTGGGTTCACTTTTGGGTGCCCCCTGCGTGGCTTGCTCCTGCAGTGGGATGGGGGCAGGGTGCCCCAAGGGGACATGCCGCCTCCTCCTCCTCTCCCAAGGGCCTTTGGCACATGCCAGGGGTTGGGGTGATTGTGCTTGGGAAACAGGGCATAGAGGGAGGTGCAATGGGTCACCCTGGAGTGGGGATGAAATACTCTGAAGGCTTTGCTGGCAGGGAGTGCGCGGACACAGCCCCAGGGTTTGTGGGGATCTTAAACAGGCAGGAGCCACAGGAAGCTAGCAGAGGCATGGGTCTGCTTCCCACCAGGGGCAGAGCCCACACTCACATGTGCAGCCCCAAACCCCATTGGGCCTGGGGCTCTGGTATTTGGCTAAGCCACGCTCATCCTGACCCCCCCCGAGAACCCAGGTGGTGTCCCCTTCCTTTGGAGGGTAGGAGGGCAGAATTATGTGCCCTGGGGCTCAAAGCAGAGCATACTGGGGTTAGAGACTTAGCTAGCCACTCACCCACATTACTGATGAGTGCCATTCATTCTGACTGGCTGTGCTGGCAGCGTCTAGAGGCCCCTGAGAATGGAGAGCATAGAGAGCAAAAGGCTCCTGCAGCTGCTTCTCAGCAGCTTGTCCAGACTATGGAGCATACAGGCACAGTCCGGGGCCAGCCTTGAGGTCTGGGGAGTTCAGGAGGGGAGCTCAGGGCCTACATTGTCATTGCTTCTGGTGCTGCTGCTGGGGGAAGGGGCAGGGAAGGAGCCATTTGCTCCCAGTGAGAGAGTGATGTGGAGCTGGCCCAGGCTTGGCAGAGCTTGCAGCACCCCTGAAGTGGCCATCTGCTTTGACTATGGTTAAGGACACCCCTGAGTACAGCACCTCAAAGGTGACCCTGTCTGAGTCATATCGTCCTGTTCATCAGTCAAGGTCAGGAATTTGAGCACCCCATGCTTCACAACTGTACTGGAATCTCATGGTTTGGGGAGGTTAGGGGGGAAGGACCCCATGGGGTAGGAGCCACAGGAGGCATGTGGTTCAAATCCCAGGGCCAGAAGTCTCATCGCTGAGCCGCTGGCCAGGGCCGCCCAGAGGATTCAGGGGGCCTGGGGCAAAGCAATTTCGGGGGCCCCTTCCATAAAAGTTGCAATACTATAGAATACTATATTCTCGTGTGGGGCCCTGTGGGGCCCGGGGCCTGGGGCAAATTGCCCCACTTGCCCGCCCCCTCTGGGCAGGCCTGCCGCTTCAGAGCTTCCAAGGCCAGAAGGGACAATTGGGATCATTGGCTTCTAGGAACAGCATCCTGCAAGGGAGAAGCCAAGACGGGGCAGGAGAGTCCTGTTCAGACCAGCCCCACGGGGATAGAGACATGATGGACAGACCACGTGGGGAGGACAGAGCCAGTGGTGCTGGAACAATTTGTATGGTGGGAGTGCTGAGATCCACTGAACCAAACTGCAAACCCTGGATATGATGGAAACCAGGGGGTGCAGCAGCCCCCTCGCAGACCCCTTAGTTCCAGCACCTATGGTCAAAGCTGATGCCAGCATCCCCTGGGCAGCATCACCTTGTGGTCACCCTGGATAACACAGAAACACGGATGAGAAACTAGCTTGCCTTTAGTCCGATTTGGTAGTGAAGAGGTTAAAGAGGCAAAATCTAATTTTAGAGGCTGAGCTGGGGACAGATTCTCACAACTTAACACAAACTCCCTGCAGGAAGCAATTTTTTTTTATAAAGGCTACACACTGAACTCTCCGAAGGCTTTTATATTAACTCTTTGAGGGCCAAACCTGTGAACACCCCAGAACGTAACACTGATAGTGAGCAACCAAGAGGCTGTGCAAAGAAAATGAACGTTTCAAGTGGATTTTGGAGCTTGATGTCCATATTCTCCCACTTTTTAATTAATTTTTCCTGGTTTAATGACTGGCATGCCTAATAAACATCCCATGCAAAACTGCTCTCTGGTAAATGTGTGCGTGAACATGGTGTGCAGCAATATGTATGTGTGTGTGTGCTGTGTACGTGCATTTATATGGATGCCAGTGTGCGTGTGTGTGTGTACTTGTGTGTATGTCCCTGTGTGTTGCATGTGTGCATTTATATGCATGCATGTAAGTGTGCGTGAACATGGGTGTTACCCTTCCTCCAACAACAAGCTTCTCATCAGAACTCCAGCCTTATAGAGATATGTTGTATTCTGGTGGCTGCTGGTTTCTTTCTCTTTCCCATTGCCTGAATTCCTGCTGTCCATTACTGTCCAGGTGTTAAACCTCACCATGTGGCAACACAGAAATGAATGAACCACAAAGGGGTTTGGTCTCACAGGCCCCTGGCCCCATCCTGCTGGCTGTGTCAGGGAGAGTCTCTTCATGATGCAGGCAGTAGGAAAGAGGCAGCCGAATGGCACAGCCCAGCATTCCTTGGGGCACTGGGGCTGGAATTGTCTCATTGAACTTTTATCATTCTGTATTATTGCCTCTTATTGTCTGTTATGGTGTCACCCTGGTGCCCATTCAGGATTGGGCCCCCCCATTGTGGGAGGTGCTATACAAAGTGGTGGGCACGCTCCCTTCCCGTAACAGCTTACAGTCCCAAACAAGGGGCTGTGCTTCCTGGCCACACCACTGTGCTTCAGGGCTATAGTAAGGGGATCATAAAGGAACAGATGTTGATGAGGCAGCAAATGCCCACTGCCCCGCCTGTGTGCAGGCTGAAGTGTGGAGAGATGTGCAGGGGCTATGCCCTGAGGCCAGGCTTGCCTGGGCAGGAGCTAAGCCCAGCCAGGTCAGAACCAAGAGGAATGCAAGCACACTGGGGGAATGGTGCCCCGAGTGCCATGATGACACATGGGCAGGATAGATCTGATGCTGTGCAAAGTAAGGCCGTCCCAGGCTCCTCTGTCTAATGCCCCCCAGCACTACTCGCCCAGGAATGCCTGGCCAGTCCCAGGGAGATAGGCCGTGAGGCATAATGCAGGAGGGAGAACAGGAAGGCTGCTGCAGCAATCGCCCAGTACACCCCACTCTGGTGTTAGTGTTTGTATGATGGCCGGGCCGCACAGGGCAGGTGCTGCACACATACATGCGGGGCAGGCCCTGCCCCAAAGAGGGTCCCACGTAAAGAGACCGGACAGACCCCAGTGGAAGGAAGGATTATTAGCTCCATTGGACACCTGGTGGCACTGGGTCCAGAGAGGTGAAGGGCCAGAGTCTGAAAGGTGCTCTGCTCTCATTTAGATACACAAATGGTGTGGGTGGCTCTATGCAAGCACTCAGCCCTGAGCAATGTCCACCCTTCACCAGGACCACAGAGCTCTCTGCACACCCTCACTACGGCCAGCCCAGAGATTACACCTCCCAGTCGGCCCCGCAGGTATAGCTATGGCCCGTCTTCTGCGGCTGAACTGTCCTGCCCCTCCATGTGGGGCAGCAATCAGCACTGCCCCCTTCCCACACACACTGGGTGAGGGGAGACTGGCTGCCTGCAGCAGCTCTCACCCCACGGCTGCCCAGCAAGGAGCCCTGCCCCCCAGCTCCCTCAGTTCAGCCCCCCAGCCTCCCCTCTGCTGCTCCTGAGGCTCTTCACCCGCCTCTCCCAGGCCTGGGTGGCAGCTGGAGCAGGGCCCCTCTCCCTGTTCCAGGCTGGGTGCTTGTGGGGAAAGGGGATGGGGCAGAACTGCCCTGAGCTGTGGGGCTCCTTAGCTCCCCCATCCCACCCGTGAGAACAGCGTGGGCTCCTGAGGGTAGGGGCCAGAGCTCCACCCGCTTGCTGCAGCAGATCCAATTGGCTGTTTACACCCTAGATGGCAGATGATTGGGGATGCCAACCAATCTGGGAGGGTCCCCCAGGCAGAGCTGACATGGGGCCCCTTGCTGAGTACCGGGATAGGGCTGTAGCTGTGTCATAGCCGGGTCTGCCCCATGGTGACCAGGGGCACATTAAGCCATGCAGAGCCTCAGCCACAGACCCGGACTGCCCGCGGATGCAGTATTTGTTGTGCCGTGCACAAACAGGGGTTGCTTTGTCTGGAGCGAGTAGCCTGGCCAGCTTTGGGGGGGTGAGTCAGACTGGCCCCTCTGGCTCTCCAGCTCCCTCTCTCAGACTGAGCGGCTCAGTGGCTGCAGGTGTGGGGGGCAGGGCGCTGGGGCGGGGTCTCTGCTCTGTGAGCATGAGCAGTGAGGACCAGGCTGGCTGTACAGCAAGGATCTGATGTTTGGCAAGGCTCCCTTCCTCTGTTACCAGTACTCGGACCGGGGTAGTCTGGAGCCTCAGCCACTGGGGCTGCAGAGGCAGGAGAAAATGTCCAGTCAGATAACATCACCGTCAGGATAACACCCAGCCGGTTCATTCAGGAGGCGGGACCTAGGCTTGGGCAGTTGGCTGCTCTTCCCCTAGGATACAGCTGGGTGCCAACATAAATGGGTGTGCAATAAGATGGCCACCTGTCTAAGATGGTACCCACATACCTGGCACCCAGGTTAGCTGCCATCACAGCTGATGCCTATAGTGCCAGCCCCAGCCTGAAATGCTGTTACAGCAGCAACATCAGCTTGTCCTTACTGTGCTGTGCGCCTCCAGGAGCTATGCTTCCTGAGCCCCCGGGGGCCAGGCCTTATAGGGTATTACAGCAGGGCCTAGAGGGCCTTTCCAGTATAAGGGCCCCTCTGTGCTAGGAGCAGTACACACACCTAGGGAGAGACAGTTCCAGCCCTGAAGAGCTTCTACTCTAAACAGACAAGCCAGATAGGGAAAGAGAGGGATCCGGAGGTGCCTATGGGCACATAGCGTCAGAAGCAAAGCCAGCTCTCTCGAGTCCCAGGCCAGGGCTTTTCCTATGAGTCTACACAACCAGCCAGTCTGTTGCAACAGCAATTGACATCAGGTGGAAGCTGCATATGTGCAACTGAAAACAGGACCCAGGCTGTGGTGCCATCTGCCTGTTTCCGGGGGTGGCCTGGTGCACATTGATCCATATGCAGCAGTTTTCTGCACATGCCCTGCCCTCATGCCTGCATATGCCCCACAGAAGGTGAGAAGCGCCAAGGGGTTTCTGTTAGACCCCTAAGCTTGGAATTCTTGGAAACTACTCTCGTTATTGGTCCAGAGGGGGAGTGACAGTTTGGGATGAAAGAGGCTGAACAGAAGCCACTTGTCAGGTCCTTCACCTCCCCTCTGTCACTGACTCTCTGTACAATTAGAAAAGACCAGTCAGAGTTTCAAAGTTCTGGTGCGGAAAAATGCAACCGCCCAAGAAACTTTGCCTCGGCCCAGAGTCCCTTTCAAACACTGCCGAATTCTCCCAGGATCTTCAAGTGCCAGGAAACCAAGCAGAGGGCCTTTCCCCTCCCGTGAGGTAAGGGAAGGGGGGAGCTTCTGGCTTTCAGTTCTGTAGGAGTAGATTTCAGCCCTGCTTGTTCCCTGGATTCTTTAGTGCCTGTGTTTTGTTGTTGCTGCTAGATCCTGGCACCCAACAGGTTAATCCCCAGACCTCACCCTGGGCATTACATTTCTTCTTCTCTTTTAAAATCCCCCACAGGCAAAGAAGGAAAAAAATGGTGTGGGTTTTTTTTTAAGGTGCTAAAAATATTATCAGGAAATTCTTTTCAGCAATGTTATGTTTTAGGTTACATTTTAGACTCAAGGGCCTCTTTGTCTCCACAGAGAAAATCCACAGTTATCATCAGCAAATCGTTTTATCAAGAAAGCTCCAGTTATCCCAGCAAAAGCAGCACAAAGCTCCCTGACAGAGCTAGAAAAACCCTGTGATGCTGGCAATTAAGATGCCTAAATATGCATTCAATTTAGATGGCTATTTCATGCTGAATGCCCCACTACTTGATTATTAAATATGAACTATGTAAGACAAGACAGATAATAATCATAACATTGCTACAGACTTACAAATCTATTACATGAGCATACACATTTAAAGGCCCCAATCCTGCAGTCACATCCATGCAGGATCAAGGATTCTTAGTTAGGCGGGACAGTTTCTCTTTCTTAATAAATAATAATAATGTCTAGCTCTTATTAATGCAAAATAGTTACCATCCATCCCCCTGTTCTTCTAAAGTACTGTGGCCCCAATCTGACAAAGTTGTATGCATGAGGTTAATTTTATGTGCATAGCTGCAATGAAGACTATTAACATGCACAGAGGTAAGCATATATGTCAATCTTGGCAGAATAGGACCCTATCCTAGAGCAACACATTTCTACAGAGCTCAAAGGCGTGTCTTCATTTTTCTCCCTGATTGTATGTTCTTGCTCATAGCTGTCAAATATTGCCATATACTGGTAACTCAGTATATAGTAACTCTCTCAATACATCAGCTGCTCAGGCCCACCTCAGTATTGCCAATGACACAAGTTCCAGACTCATACACCAGGCCCGGAGAAATCCTGTGATTGGTTTAACAATCACAAGGTTGGACCCAGAATTTATTATTTCTTTCATTTTATTTGCCTCTGGTTTTTGAGCTGTTCGGGTTCCTGTTTTGAAGCTTTTCTTTACAACCATGAGGGCTAGAAGGTGACCTTTTTCTTTTTAAGTTAAAACTGAGATTCTCATGTAATCACCTGACTCCAGGAGCTGGGGATTTGAGAAAAACAGCAAATACTGCAAGCCTTGGGATAAAATTGGGGGAACTGGCAACACTGGCATCTAAAGTCATTGTAAGAGTACTCCTCTTCCCTTCGCTGAGAATACATTTTGACCGGTCTCTCAATTTAAGGTCTTCAGCTCTGGCGGAAGGAAAATGGAAACTCAGAGAACTTCCTTTTCAGAGACCAACAAAAATGCATCAACATCCCTGCAATAACAGAAGCTGAAGAAAGATGTAGGGCATGGGGGAGGGAAGAATAAGAGTTTAAACAAACAATCCAAGGTCAAGCAGCTGAAGCTAGGGTGTACTAGGACCTAAACTCTATGTAAGACTATTCTATAGGCAGGCCCTGATGCAGCAAGGCACTTAAGCACATTTAACTTTAAGCACAGAATTAGTGCAAAGTTAGGCATGTGCTTAAATGCTTTGCTGAGTTTGGGGCTAGTTACCCATTCTCTTCAAATGCCTTGCTGTGTAGATGATAAGGGTGGAAGACATGGATTATAATCTAACATCTCACTGGGCAATCTGAAAGGAGGAGCAATACAGTATGGCTGGAAAAGTGGAAATGCTGCTGTCCTAAGGTAGAGGCATATTTGCTGACAATAAGCGATCAAGCCTAACACGGTGGGTTCTGCTATCTGTCTGCTGATATAGGACTGAGGCTCTTATTATTTGTACATGTCTGTTTGCTTCCCATTCAAGTCTTATCTGGGCCTCCACTGAAAACCCATTCCCGGCTGACCTGTTCTGGAGGTGCCTGGCCCCAGCTGAACACTCACAATCTCTAGGTGTCGAGCGTGGCTTTGGTTTTCCAGTTGGCTCCCCAGTGACCAACTGGCATGGAGATTGCTGGTTGGGGAGGCAACTTGTTCACTGCCCATGCCATCTCCATATCGAGATCAGTCAATGGGCCAGTTCCCCAGCTGGTGTAAATCACTGTAACTCCACTGAAGTCAGTGGGTCAGATCCACAGCTGGTATAGATCAGTGTAGCTGCATTGAAGTCAATGGGCTAGATCCTCAGCTGGTGTCGATCAGGGTAGCACCATTAAATCCAATGGCATGCCTCTGATTTACACCCGTTGGAGAACTATCACCCAGAATAACTCCCTCTCAAGCTCAAGGAGGAGGGGTGGAGCCATGGTAAATGCAGCCAGTAATCTATTCCAATCCTTTCAGATCAGGCCTACGCACTAGTCATCACTTGACCAATACAGAGTAATAGCCATCAGTCCCTGCTCCAATGCATTCAGTATTTATGACAAAACTTCAAACCCCAGCAATTTGTAAGAGGTGCCAAAAATCATCCAGCTCTCAGTGCTTTGAAAATATAAAAATCAGAATCATGGTTCAAAATAATGTATGTTTTTATTCATAGAAATGCAATATAAATATTCCCCACTGCAATGATTGCAAGGTACATTTTAATACTGAACACAGGCCAAGGAACATGTTATGTAAGGACTGAAATGGAGCCGAAAACAACAGCAGGACTCAGTTAGAATCAACAGCAAAGGGATTATGTGAAAACCAACATGGCACATTTCCCTCAGTGAGACCCAGCTGTGCCATCAATGTGAGGGTATTCTCTGGGCTGCCCAGATCCACGCCCACACACTCTTCCCAATCCAGAGGGTCCAGTCCTGAAATGCACTGGCACTGGAATGTAGGCGTGATGATTCCCACCCTCCTGATGGAGATGGTGGTTTGTTTCTGCATGGTCTTTCCTGCCGCCACATCCAACTCCACGTAAACAACCCATTGGAGAGGGGGCAGAAACGCTAGCTACAGAGTGAGATATCCGCTCACTCACCCCAGGGGCACTGCATTGGCTGCAGGGAGCTACTCCTGATTTACAACAGGGTGAGAAGAGAATCAGCCCCAGTGGGCCAGAGCCTTGGCTGGTGTAAATCGGTGTAGCTCCATTGAAGTCAATTGGCCAGATCCCCACCTGGGTGTAAATCAGCTTAGCTCTGTGGAGATCAACAGACCACCTCCCCCCACTGGCATAAATCAGCATAGACCCATGGAAATCAATGGGCGAGATCCCCAGCTGGTGTAAATCAGCGTAGCTCCATTGAAGACAATGGGCCAACTCCTTGAATAGCATGAACCAATCTCACTCCAGTGAAATCAATGATGCCACATTAATTTACACCGGCTGAGGTTCTGGCCCAGTGTGTCTGAGGACCCAGTCCTATGAGGACCTGAGCACTTCCTGCTTGCTGTGGGGTCACCCTCAAGGGTGCTCAGCAGCTGACAGCACTGGGTCCCTGTGTAGGTCTGGTCTCACTTTCACTGACACCGGTGTAAGGCCAGAGGGACACCACAGAAGTCACTGGAGTTAGGCCGGTGTGAGAGCAGAATTGCTCTACATACCTGTATGTTGCATGGGGTGGGGTGGGATGGGGAAGATTTACCTGTATCATGGGAAGGAACAGAATCAGATGTCGCTTATCATATATTGTTAAAAGATGAAATGCACGAAGATCCATCCAAAGCCTTGAAAATGCCACTGTTGATTTCCTTAGCAAACACCTTCTATTCTCAGCATTTAAAATCAGTGCTTAAACAAACCACAACGTTGGGACAAATTATGCCGCCCCCCCACTCCCGGCCAGTCATGAGAAAACGTGTAAAATGCTAACAGGTGAAGGCCAAAGCGGTCCCAAAATGATTGCCTCCGTTGCCATGGAAACCACATTTTGATTCCTTCAGGGATTTGCTTGGAGCCTGTGGCTGGCAGAGTGGGTGGAACGTTGAATTTTACACTTTGACGCCTCTCAGGGCCAGTGAGTCATAAAATGACTTGGCTTTGAGCTAATCCCAGCCACCTGCCACCATTAAAAAAGGCCTGCATTTCCTGAAAGGATGAAGGGCTTGACCAGTCTCCAGGCATGGTGGCGATGCCCTCTCTCACTGCGTTTCATTAGCGTACACTAGATTTTTGGTTAATGCCGGTGGATGCAGTCCCCTGCAGGTTCTGTGCAGTCAAGGGCCGGTTCCTCAAGCTGCACAGATCTGTCTGATGGCGACAGACTCTGTCTAGCATATTGAGAAGATGCTGCTGAGATTGGGAGGGTCTGTCACTCCACCAGCTAGACAGGAGGCCCTGACAGTACTGGATGAGGCCCAAATGGCACCGCTCCTGAGGGAGAGAAGAGTGGCTCCGATTGCTGGGAGAGCAGAGCTATTTAAATAATGGGGTGAGATAACATAGGAAGTCAGGACCCATTAGTATGGGTAGCACTAATCACAGAGAAGTCCCTCATTGCCAAATGGCCTAAATAAATTAATCATCAGTGGCCTGGGATTCGGCTGCGTAAGGCCTACAGTCCCCGTTGCTCCAGCCACTGGTGTAGTGCAGGCTCCTCCCAGAAACCTCTCCCCACAGCAGTGCTGGCCATGAGTCAGTCAAGCGTCCTGGCGCAGGAGGAGATGTTAGAGTCCGGCTTGCAGGCTGCAGAGTCACTGTTGAAAGCTGGTCCTGAGGGTTGTCTTTGACTAGATCTTACCAGGCTGGAGCACAGGGGCTATTTCGGGATCATTTCCCTGTCCGGAGCACTTGAGTGAGGTAGGACTGTCTCTTCCGCACCTCCTGGCCCAACTGCTCTTTCAGCGAGTTCACCTGGGGAGCATGGGGCCATTACGACTACGGAGAGGCAAGGTAATACTTCCCCATGGGGCTGTACAGGGATCTGCCTTATGGGGTCTGGGCATCTCCCCAAGGGATTACTGAGGCAGAAAATAATACCCTCCCCGGACCTGCCCTGGGGGTCCGATTCCTGTGGCCCTGCCCTCTGGCACTGCATGGCAGGGGTGAGAGGCTCTGAGATCAGAATTGTGCCACCCAAGTGTACGGCTCCCCTTGGCAGTAGACACTTCACCAGCCATAGCACCCCACTCTGCCCCATCAGCCCCAGTCTTGCCCGACGTGGCCTCTGCATGAGCTCATTCAAATCTGGTGCCCATGTGGTGCCCGCACCAGCAGCCAGGGCATGGCCTTCCCGATGGCTTTTAAAGATGTTACTGTTGTGTGCCTAACCCCTCTACCTGATCCTCTAAGTCCTTGACACGCTGCTTGTGGGCTCTCTTCCGGGACTCCAGGGACCATTCAGCCTGAAGCTGGGTGCTGCGCAGCCTCTCTGTCTCCAGCTCCATCAGGCGCTGGGTATGTGCCCGCTCCATCTCTGTGATCTGGGCCTAGCACAGAAACATAGGTAGGGCGTCAGCCAAATCCCGCTGGAATCATGTACTGGGCCATTGGGCAATGCAGGACAAGGGCCTGGACCCAGACACTCCTTGTCCTTTAGCCTTCCCTCGGGTCATTTCCACAGGGCAGTGCTGAGCTAGCACCGTCCGTTTCCAACAGCCACGTGGGGCTCCAGTACCCATATGCGGGCTCACAAACAGCCATTTCCCCCTTTAGTGACTCTGCACCATTCACATGGTGCCTGACCCTTAGCTCCCCTGTGCTGGCTGCAGACAGGTCCCTGCCCTCTCTCAAAGGATCCCTTTCAGGGTGTGGGCAAGCATGTGGACACCTGCTCCCCAGGCTCCTTCACAACTGCTGCCTTGGGCCTGGACCCTCTTGAAGAGGTGAGTGTCTGGGCTGCAGTGCACCGTGTCCTGCCTCCTGGATCCCCTCGCTTCTCAGAGAGACTGTGTCCAAACAGCACCGTGTCCCGCCAGATCTGCTCTCTGGGGAACTCCACATGGGGGGCGCAGGCTGGAGGGGGGGGGTGAGGAGAACTGGCCTTTGCCAGCGCCTCCGCCTGCACCCAGGCCACAAGATGCCATGCACCCCATCTCCTAGCCAGGGGAGCCAGGACATGGATTAGAGCCCCCTGCAGAGCAGAGAGACTTTCCCTGCCCTAACAGGAACCAGAAGATCTCCTCACCCCACCAGGCCTGGAAACTGGGAGACCCCTTTCCTGGGCACCTGGCCTCCTCGTCCCCAGCCACGGAACTGGGGAGGAAGAAGTTTCCTGGGCAGAGCCTCCTCCCAGCAGGCACCTTCCGAGACCCCTGGCCACAGATGATGCCATGGGCTACGGCTTCCTTTGGCTGGGACTCTAGGCATCCTTTGGACTCTACTGAGCTCCTGTTTGCTCCTACTTACCCCCTGCCTGGCCCGCCTCCCTCTGTCCAGGCCTCCTGTGCTCCTCTCCCTCCCTTTTCCTACTGCCATGAACCTTCATCTCATCTCCTCACCCCAGGGCAGAGTAATCCTCTAAGGCGCCCCCATTTCCTGTGACAAACCACCGTTACCAGTGGACTGACCTGCAGTGGCTGATTCTGTCTCAGGGTGTCCTCCACCTCCTGGTGCAGACTGCTCAGTGACAGGTCCAGCTGCTTCTTCTCTGCACTGAAACGCATGGCATTGTCTTCTTTCCTGAGTGTCTCCCATTCTGCCTGCAAGGACAAGTCGCATGGCAGGGACCTTCACTTCCCCTCTGGCACGCACATTGCTCAGCAGTTCCCAGTGGGCTGGGATTTTCAAGGTCTTGGGCTGATTTTCAAAAGAGCCCCACTGCACCCCTGAAAACCTGACCCTACCAGCTGGCACACATAGCTTGGCTTTGGCTGCCTGGAACTGGCACACTCATTGAAACCAGGGTACCTTCTGGAGTGTCTGCTTGCTGAGTTCATTATTACAGCAACAGCTAGAGACCCATCCCAATCTAAACAGACAACACAGAGAAAAGGTGCAGAGTGGAAACTGAGGCACAGAGAGGGAAAGTGACTTGTCCAAGGTCACTAGCAGATGCAGGGCTAGCATGCAGATCCCCTGCCTCCCAGTCCAGTACTCTTCCCACTGGACCATCCCAGTACCTATGAGAACAGCTGCATCAAGATGTGGAACTGAGGCAGAGGACTTTTCTATCTCCCAGGATTCTGTGCTGTGGGTGAGGGCAGTGTGTGGCAGGCCTCCTTCAACAGAGGGCAGAGTGACAGCAGAGGAATCTTGGGAGGGAAACAAGGGAGTCACCGGAGGCAATGCTGAGGGAGCAGTCCGAGGGGGAGGGTGGTCTCAGAAGTGAGGGAGCAGACATGTCAAAGGCCATGTGTAGATTGAGAAGGAAAAGAGCGTGGTGAAGCACTGGAATGGGTTACCTAGGGAGGTGGTGGAATCTCCATCCTTAGAGGTTTTTAAGTCCCAGCTTGACAAAGCCCTGGCTGGGATGATTTAGTTGGTGTTGGTCCTGCTTTGAGCAGGGGGTTGGACTAGATGACCTCCTGAGGTCTCTTCCAACCCTAATCTTCTATGATTCTATGACAGAGATGGAGAGGAGACCTTGAGACCTGGCTAAGAAGAAGCCAGGGAAACCCTGGGGAGGGAAAAGCCAGTGGAGTGGAAAGGGCAGAGTGGGATCAGGACATCTGAGGTGTTTGGAGGAAAAGGCAGGTGGGATCAGGAGAGAGGCAGAGTGGGGGGAAGACCCCAGGAGGTAGGGAAGGACTCAGGATGATGGGGGGGGGAAAGCAGTGGGATGAGGTGGATCATGGAGAAGGCTGAGGGTTTGCAGCTGAAATGGGGACACCATGCCGGTCACTATTCAGTGGAAGAAAGAGCTGTCAGGGACTGGCCTCACAGCCCAGAGCTCTGGACACAAATCAACTTCTTGGCAGTTTGTTGAGGTCTGAGGGGCCCTTGGGCAGGCGAGACCAGCCGTGAAGCAGAGCCACATTAGCCAGGACAGTGCAGCGAATGCTTCTCCTCCAGCAGCACTTTCAGTATCTGTGCACACAGTGCACAAAGGCTGGCCAGGAAGAACTGCGCTGCAGCGCTGAGCTCCCGAAGGGCACAACCATCTTCAGGGCAGCATCTGGAGGCTGGTCATGGCATGATGGTACAAGAAGGGCTGTGTCTAGAACAACCCCCAGCTGGGAGAAGGTCCCCAAAGGCCCAGCGCTTGGGCGATGCTCTGCGTGGAGCCTGCTGGCTGGTCAGGGGCCTTTGTTACCAGCAATCCCTGCCCTGCATGAACAGATAAAAGCCTCCAAATAACCAAAGGAAGGCCTGTCCCTTTAAAAAACAATGAGCGTCTCCTGGAAGAAAATGTTGAAAGGAGAAGAGAAGAAAGCAAAATCCAAAATAAATAAACGGCCACATCCGGATTTCCCCTCCTGAGACGCTACTCAAGGGTTTTATGAGTTCGATATGAATTACCCTCCCTGGCCATTTACAGCTGATCTTCTGGAACTCATTAGCTATCCTCTCCCGCCCCCCAGCCCAGGGGAAGAGGTTGAGCACAGGGAATAAAGGGGCACCATGTAAAAGCTATTTCATGCTTGCTGAGACTCTCATACAGCCTGTAATGTTGCTTTTCCACAACAGAAAAATATCACATTTCCCTTCATCCTAGTTTCTGCAGCTAGAAAATCCATTAAGATGCCTGATGGACAATCCCTATTCAGTGCCAAGCTCAGCCAGCAAAGGCATACCTGGCTTTCCTGCCTCTCTGGCAGATCCAGAGCAGAATATTTCCTAGCCTCTCCTCTGGGAGCACGTGTTCTCAAGGATCCCAGTTCAGGCATTCCCTGCTAGCTAACACTAAGGCATTAGACAACAAAACGTACTTTTATATAGAATTCTTTATAGAGAGCCCCACCAAGCCCTCTGCAGGGGGAACTGGATAGCTCAAAGGGTGAATAATGGCCTCTAGTGCCTTGTACTTCTAGAATGATGGTTTGAACTCAACCTGGATCAGCTGTGACCTAGAGAGAGGTGAGAGAGTCCAGCCTCAACAAGGTAACTTATCTGCATAATTCTCACCCTGGAACACAAAGCTTTACTAATGTTGCAAGTCAAGATGGCCCCAAATCCAGGTGTTCTCTACCCCAACAGCTGTCTAGTGACAAAAGGGCCACCCAGAGGATTCAGCAGGCCTGGGGCAAAGCAATTTCGGGGGCCCCTTCCATAAAAAAAAGTTGTAATGCTATAGAATACTATATTCTCGTGGGGGTCCCTGCAGGGCCTGGGGCAAATTGCCCCACTTGCCCCCACCCCCGGTCGGCCCTGAGTGACAATGGTCCTTCCTTCTCCAAGGGTGCAACCCAGCTGCATTGAAGATGGCTGCTCTTGGAATGGCTTCCACAGCAAGAAATATTAGTGCTTGATTGGATTGTTTTTCCTTTCTTTGCTGATATTTCTTGGGATTTCGAATGCAAACCTCAGGGGGTTTGATCATTATAACAACTTCTTTAGCACTGAAAGGGCCCAACTAGGACATGCTGGGAACAGCTACAGCAGTGAAAAGGAGCAAGCAAAGACAATGAAGCTGACGTGCTGAAGTCATGCATGCTGCCCACTAACACATCTGCACATACCTTTTCCCCTTCTCCATCCAAAGGTTGCTTGGCTCCACCTCTGGAGTGAGAACCAGGAGTGACAATTCAACAGAATGCTATGCAAATGTTCAAAAGGAGCCCATTGTTGGATTGCAACATTAGGATATTCTTGCAGAGTTACTGGACTGTATTGATGATTCCTTCTTCCCTAGAATTCTTACTGCTTGGAATTTGATCATTCATGACAAATGAAGTTTAATTTAAAATGTCTGAAATGATCTTTGAGGAGGATTTCCGTTCTCCCATATTTTCATTTCTTGTGTACTGTTTTGTATAATCACCCTGCAGCAGAGTGCAAATCTTCCCTGGAGATCAACAGGCAATCCCAGGGAAGCACTGCACTCTGATGCAGGCACTCACTGGCATTAAACAAGATAAGTAAAATGCACCAACTCTCACCATCTTGCTTTTCTTCCTCAACAGCCTAATTTATGCTCCTTCTAGCACTCTCAGGGAGTATATTGTTGTCACTCACACAGCTCCTAGCTAATTCACTATGGAAGGGGCATAGCTCAGGGGGGGCAGAAGGGTTTTGTGGTTAACACACTGACTTTAGCCTCAGGAACACTGGGTTTGAATCCTAGCTCTGCTATGCGAGAACTGGAGCAAGTCACCTAATCTGTTTTGGTGCCTCAGTTCTCATGGGGATAATGTACCTTCCTTTCTCCCACTCTTTGTGTATTTCAATTGTACATTCTTCAGTGCAGCAATTGTCCTTTACAATGGATGAGTACAGCACCCAGCATGATGGGATGCCAGTCTCCTTTGGGACAGAAGGGCACTACTGCAATAATGAGCCATGAACAGAGGTCTTTTAGCCATCCTTGGCACTCGTATTATGGAGTGTTGTGTTTCTTTTTGACTTTCCTGCACCTTATTTCTGAGGTTGCATAAGGGGAACTGGAATGTAGTCATGACCAAGAGTGGAAGATACAGTATTCATCACATTCTCCTCTTCTCCCTCCCAGTGCTAATGCAGAACAACTTGATTAGTTCAGTATGGACCTCTGAAATAGATCTCTATCTGACGGTATCACCAGAATTGTATTGGACACTCCCTGGAGCTGGGAAATGCCTTGTGACTTTCGGCTCAGAGCGGGATGTTTAAACGACTGTTCTGGAGCTTCGTTTTCACACTGTCCCTTAGAATCCCGATGATGTACCAATGCAATGCAATGTATGCCAACAGGAATTCAGCAGATTCAGCAGCTCACTCCCATCCCACAATCTACAACTGATTTTGCAAAAGGAAACCAAACTGGTGGCTCTATCCTCTGCAGCGCAGCACAGCACACCCAAAATCACAACTGCACACACACATGCCCATTTGTGAAGAAAACCAGGACAATGATCTGACTACCTTGTGTGAATTAAACTCCTTACTACAGTAAATGGAAATCAGTGACATAGTTAGGGAAACAGCTGTTGGACACAGCCAGAAGTGACTTCCTTTGGGTCAAATTCTGGACCTGATGCAAAACCCAAGGAGCTGGACTGTATGTTGGGAAGGTCTGGCATGAAGGAATCCTTCCCCACATCATGGAGATGATCCATGGTAGTTATCTCTGGCCTCCCCTTCTTCAGGAGGGAGAGCCTAGCAGATCTGCACCACTCTTTCCTTGGCCTCCCCCCCCATACATTGATAGCTCCCATGGAGCTGTTCTCAGGGGTCCTGGGCCCCCATCCAGGGCTCTCCACGTCGGCCCCACCCTACACAGTCACCTGATCTGTGAGATGGGAGGGGGGAGGAGAGCAGAGGGGGTGTGAATTGCTGACTCCTTCCACTTAATGCTCCTAGCAAAACCTTAATCTACACCCTGTAGGATATGCTTGTGTCCAATCCATCAGGTACAGAGTTTATCTTCTAGAGCCAACTTGACCTTTCTCTTATTAGTGACTTCGTCTCTTAAGAGACCACCCCAACGTCTCCCTATATGTACTGGGCCAACTCGGCTCTAAGTCACACTAGCCTCAGTCAGAGGTAACTCTATGGACTTCAGTGAAGTGACACCAGAGCTCCATGAGTGCGACTGGGAATGCTGAGTATAGACCTGTTCCAT